TCTCTCTCTCTCTCTCTCTCTTTAATTCTTTCTCTATTTCTCCTTCTAGGTCTCTCTCTCTCTCTCTCTCTTTAATTCTTTCTCTATTTCTCCTTCTAGGTCTCTCTCTATCTCTTCAATTCTTTCTCTCTCTCTCTCTAACATACTAACGATGTTTATTCGTGCACCATTTAAGGTTTCGTGTGTTACAGTATACAAAAACAGGGAGAGTTAATTAAATCGTATTCGTTAATCCTGTTAATTTTATTTATTTTCTCACTGACAGCAAATTGAATTTAATACATATATGTGACGAATTAAGAACTGCTGCCATCTTGGGGTTCGCACTCAAATTAGTCAGCCAGTTCTTCTGCACATCATCTAAAAATGATTAACGAGGTTATTGATGTGAATTTTTATGCAGAATAAAAATTGTCTCTGTCAATTCCAAGAGAGGGAGAGAGGGAGAGAGAGTAACAATTATAGTAGATCAAAAATAATGTGTTGATATTTTTTAATTCTTCCAATAGTTCTAGTATTTTTAATCACAATTTTTTTTTATATTAGTTGATATTAGTTCATATTAATTGATATTAGTTTATATTAGTTTATATTAGTTGAGATTATTTTATATTATTTTATACTAGTTCATATTATTTTATATTAGTTTATATTAGTTAATTCTTACATTAATTATAGCGTTAAATAATTCAGTAGAATCTTACTTTACAGCGCTGTGATCTTGGAAGTCTTGTGCGTTCCGAACAGTCACACCAAGGGCGCTATAAAGACAATACAATACAATATAATAACATAACATACAATAATCATAACAACCTGAAAATAATGTTTCAGGTCCTTCGATTTCTTAAATATTTTTGCTCGATCAAATTGCATCCTATCATATCTGTATTAATATCGTATCAATATCACGGACGAAAGTCCATCGTGTATCCAGGTAATATCTACTCCAAAAATTTCCATTATATTCAGAATATTTTGCGCGAGGACGATTCCTCGAGCGATTCGAAGCAACTTTTGTCTCGGCGAAAATTTTCTCCGACGCTCTGTTCACGAGTTATCGAGGAAGAAACGCGGGCCAATAAGGGAGCGAGCGTGATGGGGCGCGTAGTGATTGGTCCGCGTTTATCGCGATTAACTCGGCAACGAAGGCTTTGCCGACATTTTCGCAAAGGAAAAAGTTTCTTCGTAACGCCCGAGGAATCTCATTTTTCCAAGGAAACACGATTCTTTGAAAAAATTATTTGTAATTACATCTACCATCGAAAATTCTTTATAATTACACACACACACTCACACAGATACACGCATATTCGTAATTAGACCGTGAAATTGAAAATGTTTGAAAAATTGAAAATATTTGGAAAATTTAAAATGTTTGGAAAAATACAAATATTTAGCAAATGTTACGTCGCAGCCGTTCGATTCTTTCGAACTCGATTACCGTTTGAAATGTTGTTTCGCACTATGAACAAATTCTTACCGCCAACGCCACTGCAACGGGTATCGTGTGGATCGTTATCGCAACGATTGCAGCGACCAAAAGGAATGCAACGCGAACCGGCCCGAACATGTTGCCGTTTGCACAGAGATACTTGTTTAATCTTTCAACGTTGGCAAATAGTTTGCCCCCCGTTATATAGTTGGCAGAGGCACGAGCCTTCCGCCGTTCAGATTTTAATCGGGCCCTCAAATAATGTTTCGTGACAGCGTTATTAACTCGCCGTTTCGCGGGCGTATTTATTATCACCGTTTCCGCGGAGCATCTTACGAAAACGTTCAGGAAATATTATTGCAAAACGGTTTGCAACGATCCTATCCGGAGCCGTTGACAGCTACGTACTTCTGTCTCCCCATGGAACGTTTATCGTCCGCCATAAAGATTACCTCGGCTTTGGTACACGTTTTATCGTTGAAATACACGCATCACGAATTTACGTGGAAAACATTATCGCCGTCACGTTTTCCTGACGCTTTTGACGGAACCTTGGGCGCCGTTAAATCCCGTTATTTTTACATTCCTCGGCAATCGCAGCATTACAACGACAGGTTACAACGTTATCCCTCGGACGAGTTGCAATAAAATTATCTCGCGATTGTATCGTCGTTGTGTTTTCGACTGTCGGAGACAGTTAACGCAGAAAGGACATGCGAGGTGTCCGAAAATTATGGCACCTCCGAGAAATCAGGGGTTCCTGAGATCATTTGAAGCAACTTTCTCCTTTGCGAAAATGTTCTTCGAGGCTTCCTTCACGAGTTATCGGCATAAAACGCGGGCCAATTGGAGCGCGAGGGCGGGGCGAAGACGAGCCGGAGGCGTGGCGTCGTGCGTTTTTCGTTGATAACTCGTGAACGGAGCCGTGGATTGCATTTTCGCTGAGGAAAAAGTTGCTTCAAATGACCTCGCGGGAACCCCTTATTTTCCGGAATTAACATGATTTCGGGACACCCTGTATAAACGACAGCAGCGTTCGAAAGCGTTCGATCCGCGTTCTTACCTGTTTATTTGCCAGTTCATTCGAATGAAAAGAATTCTCGAACATTTTCTTCCGATTTCAAAAAAGCGATAAAGTTATTTCGATCACTCTGTATATATTATTCTCAGAATGATTCGAGCTCGAGCGATTCGCGTCGTGTTTGGACTCATTTGAATCAGGAAAATCTCGTCTATCCGGCGACGCCATAATTTCAAAAGTAGAACGGAAGTGGACGTTCATCGCGCAGCTACATTAACAACAATCGTCGAATGCGATAAACGGTGACATCGAATTTCAGCGAGGTTCGAAAAGAAACGTTGCCGCGTCGCGTATTGAACAATTCAGGAAGTAAATCCAACGATGAAATAAGTACAGGCTTGGAATATCGGTCGCATTTTACCAGGCCGGCCGATGTTTAACATTTCATGAATTAGCCGCGCACGCGACACAAACGAATAAATTCCGAGGCGTTCTACACGCGACAGGGAACACGTCCCGGTCTATCGGGCGTGCTACGCGCGATGAAAAACTTCGATAAACAATATTGTCTCGCGAAAAATCCCGCAACAATGTTCGTTCTCCGGATGCAAAAGCGCGGGGGCTTGCGTGATATCGAATCCAATAAATTCATTCTGCCACGCCGCCGCGTTTTCATTGGTCCGGCCACGGTAAATAAATTCCGCGGTGCTGATTCTGTATTTCTGCTTGACGGCGCAAAACCGGATAAAACTTCAAGACGTCGGTTTCGAACAGCCAGTTGCCGCGATACGAACGATGCTGGCGACGCCAATGAATGGACAGCGTGAACCGATTCTCGGTAACCAAGAACAATTCTTGCGCGAGTAATTGGATCGCGAAAATTCTGAAAAAAATGCGCACACTTCGGATCGCGGGCAGCACGTTGTAGAATTTTTTCAGATTTTTTCGTTCCGAGCGGTCGCCACGAAAAATGAAAAATCGAAAATCAAATAATCGAAGATTTTTCGAAAACCAACGATTAGGCTAGTCTAGAATTAATTCTCCGATGAGATACCGTAACGAACAGTGATCCGAAATTTTTTCAGAATTTTTGTACGGGTGCGCGATAGTTGGAAAAAAGAATAATACCCGAATCAATTGACGTTTTCGGATAATAGAACAATGGCCAGCAAAATTTACAAACTGTTATTCCGTGATCTGGCGAAAATGATAGAATTTTTGGACACTCCGTATATTTCTAGAAATCAGTGAATTTCGCAAATGGCTTTGCTAAGGGTGGAACAAACTGTCCATTATTGGGGAAGAAGAACAGCCCTTTATTTTCTCGTGGCAGTCACATAATATATACATGGCACTATGAAGTTACTAATGTAGTGTCCAGAGGCTTCTTCAACAATGCTGCCATCGCCAGTTTCTTGCCGGACTTCTTATTTCGGGCATATCATCTAAAGAGGAAAACAAATACGTGAGATTAAATACCGTTCGCATACGATACATAGACAATTATTATATATAATCAATTTTACTTGGCATGCTTCACTTTTTGGATGATCGCAATTGCAATGCTGAAAAAAAGACACAACATTTTTCCATAATAATGCAAATAATAATGCAAATAATACTGCAAATAATATTGTACAACCGATTTGTGTGCTATACTGACCGAACTAAACGCTGCAGATGCCATCCAGGCACAGCTCAGCAACACTAGGAAATAAGCAGGCAAGAAGGAACGAATGCTTGCAAACATGTTTAGGCCGTCGGAATACCACGTTCCTTAGAATACTCTGCTATATTCTGCCGGTGTTTATATACTCAGCGTGCATAAGGTGATCACGCAATTTAACGCAATTATAGATACGGTGCGTAATTATGCGTGCAGTGCGCACCGGCCTTCTAGAATTTAGAAAAAAAATGCGGCGCCCTATGGATCACCGGGAGCATATTGCAGAATTGTTTCCAAATTTTTTCGCTGTAAACTGACACCGCGAAAAAGGAAAAATCAAAGATCATACAATTGCCGATTTTTCGAAAACCGGAAATTATGCTGTTTGCACATTAATTCACCGATGAGACACTATCGCGAACAATGTTCTCAAATTTTTTCAGATTTTTTATTCGACTGCACGATAATTGAAGAAAACAAAACTCGAGTTCATCGACGTTTATAAAACTGTAATAACGGTCAGCAAAATTTACAAACTGTTATTCCGTGAGCTGGCGAAAATGATAGGATTTTTGGACACCCTGTATATTTCTAGAAATCAGTGGATCAACGGAGGATCACCGAGAGCATATTGCAGAATTTTTGCAGATTTTTTCGTTGCAAACAGACGTCGCGAAAAAGGAAAAACCGAAAATCATACAATTGCCGATTTTTCGAAAACCAGGAATCACGCTATCCGCATATTAATTCGCCGATGAAACACTATCACGAGCAGTATTTTCAAATTTTTTCAGATTTTTTGAACGGTTGCGCGATAGTTGAAAACAATAAAACTCGAAATGATCGACGTTTATAACACTAAGCAAGCAAACATTGAAAACCGTTATTTTGTAAGATGGCTCTATAATTTTTGGACACCTCGCATATTTTTAGATGCCAATGTCTATTAGATCTCGCACGCATAAATGGCTTTGGTAAGGGTTGCAAGAAACTGTGTGTTATTGGTAAAGAACAGAAACTCTTTATTTTCTTATGGCAATCACATAAAATATACGTGGCACTTTAGAGTGTCCAATGTAGTGTCCGGTGATTTCTTCAACCACGCGGTCGGCATCGTCGCTAAAAGAGAAAACAAACACGTGAGATTTTTACCGTTCGCATACGACGTATAGACAAGTGTATAATCAATTTTACCCGGCATGCTGCCCCTACTGGAGCGTTACAAGAGCACGAAATCGGCTGTAAGAAGGCACACCACATTTTTTTAATAATATTGGAAATAGTGTTGCAAATAATATTGCAAATTATATATTGCAAATAATATTACAAATAATATTGCAAGTAGTACTGCAAATTGTATCGCGAATAATATTGCAAATTGTATTGCAAATTGTATCGCGAATAATATTGCAAATTGTATTGCAAATAATATTACAAATAATATTGCAAATGGTACTGTAAATTGTATCGCGGATGATATTTCAAATAATGTTCCAAATTGTATCGCGAATAATATTGCAAATTGTATTGCAAATAATATTACAAATATTACTTCAAATGGTATCGCGAATGATATTTCAAATAATATTCCAAATTGTATCGCGAATAATATTGCAAATTGTATTGCAAATAATATTACAAATAATATTGTAAATAGTACTGCCAATTGTATCGCGAATAATATTTCAAATAATATTCCAAATTGTATCGCGAATAATATTGCAAATTGTATTGCAAATAATATTACAAATAATATTGCAAATGGTACTGTAAATTGTATCGCGGATGATATTTCAAATAATGTTCCAAATTGTATCGCGAATAATATTGCAAATTGTATATCGCAAATAATATTACAAACTCTATAGCAAATGATATTCTATAATCGATTCGTGTGTTATAATATTGACCTCTGCTGCTGCCATCCAGACGCAGCCCATCATCACCAGTAAATAAACAGACAAGAAGACGGAACGAACGTTTGTAAACATGCTTAGGCACTCGGCGTGTCACCTTCCTTTGTATACAATGTGTAATTCCGACGGTGCTTATATACTCTGTATGCACAAGGTGATCTTGCTATTCAACAATAATTACAGATATGGTGTGAAATTCGTTTTTCGTGTCCGTTGCATTAGTTACTAAAATTTCGAAAAGAACTGTGAAACACTTCGTTTGACAGGCAGCATGTTCCAGAATATTCTCCGACTTATTTTGCCGTCGCAAGCTGTCGCCGCGAGAAATGAAAAACCAAAAATCAAATAATTGCAGATTTCTCGAATATCAACGATTAGGCTATTCTAGAATTAATTCAGTGATTAGGCAGCATCGCGAACAGCGTTCTCAAATTTTTTCAGATTTTTTGATCGTGTGCGCGACGGTTGAAAAAAATAAAACCCGAGCTCATCGACGAATGAACATTTGTAAAACTATAATAGTGGCTATCGAAACTTTGAAAACCGTTATTTTTTCAGGTGAATCTATCATTTGCGAACACGCCGTACAATGTATTTTCCGAAATTAGTGTCTGTTGAATTTCGCACGCGCAAATGGCATTGGTAAGGGTGGAACAAATTGTGCATTATCAATGAAGAAGAACAACTCTTTATTTTCTTATGGTAGTCGCATAGTATACGCGTGGCACTATACAGTTCACAATGTAGTGTCCGTAGGATTCTTCATCCATGCTGCCACTGTTAGTTCACACACATTCCCACTAAGGAAGAAAACAAACAGGTGAGATTTTTACCGTACGTGTATACGCTGTATAAACGAGAAAACGATCAGTTTTACAAAGCAGGTGAGATCTCGTGGATCAGCACAAACGCAATCCGCTACCTGAAAAAAAGAAACAATATATTTTCATTATATTGCAAATAATACTGCAAATATTATTGTAAATAATATTGTATAGTATACAATATTGATTTGCGCGATGTACTGACCTTATTACCAAGCACAGCTACAAACGAGACAGAGCTTAGCATCACTAGTAAATAAAAAGGCAAGAAGACGGAATGAACGCTTGTAAACATGTTTAGGCCCTAGGAATACCACGTTCATTAGAAAGAGCTGCTATATTCTGCTGGTGTTTATATACGCCTGCGTGCACAAGATGATCACGCAATTTAACGCAAATATAGATATGGTGCGCAATTACGAAATGTGTTTTGTGCGTGCAGTGCGCACCGGCCTTCTAGAATTTAGAAAAAAAAATGCGGCGCGCTAAGGATCACCGGGAACATATTGCAGAATTTTTTCCAAATTTTTTCCAAATTTTTTCGCTGCGAACTGACACCGCGAAGAAGGAAAAATCAAAAATCATACAATTGCCGATTTTTCGAAAACCGGAAATTATACTGTTTGCACATTAATTCTCCGATAAGACACTGTCACTAGCAGTGTTCTCAAATTTTTTCAGATCTTTTATTCGAGTGCGCGATAATCGAAAAAAATAAAACCCGAGTTCATCGATGTGTATAACTCTGTAATAATGACTGCAGCAAAATTTACAAACTGTTATTAAACGTTATTTTGTAGTGTGTCTCTAGCATATATCTATCTATATAGCATATATCTATATAGTATATGTATATTCTGGTGAAAGAAGACAAAACATTTGTTCATAATATTCGAAGCAGCATTTTGTAAAATAATGTTGCAAATGATATTGTATAATCGATTCGTGTGCTACATTGACCTGTGTGCTGTTGTCATCCCGACGCAGCTTAGCAGCAGCAGTAAATAAACAGGCTAGATGACGGAATGAACGCTTGCGAACATGTTTTGACCGTCAGGGTATCACGTTTCATTTTGTATATGGTATAATGTCAAATTCTGCTGGTGTTTATATACTCTGCATGCACAAGGTTAAATTATTTATGTGAAAACTATTTAAGACAATTATACAGAAACGATGGACAATTACGAAACGTATCTAACATGTTCAGTGTTCACGGGCTCATTAAAATTTTGATAAACATGAGACACACTTCGGAACACGGTCAGCACGTTGCAGAATTCTTTCAAATTTGTTCGTTGCAAACAGACGTCGCGAAAAAGGAAAAACCGAAAATCATACAATAGCCGATTTTTCGAAAACCAAAAATTATGCTGTCTGCACATTAATTCTCCGATGAAACACTATCGCGAACAGTGTTCTCAAATTTTCTCAGATTTTTTATTCGAGTGCGCGGTAATTGAAAAAAAAATGAAAACTGTAATAATGGCCAGCAAACTTTACAAACCGTTATCTGTGAGGTGGCTCTATCATTTTTGGACATCCTGTATATTTCCAGAAATCAGTGCCTCTTGAATTTCCCTTGTGTATGCAACAAACTGTGCGTTAATGACAGAGGAATAATAATTCTTTATTTTCTTGTGGCAGTCATATAAAATATACTTGGCACTAGAGAGTTTCCAATGTGGCGTCCCGCGCTGTCTTCGACCATGCTGCTGCCATCGTCTGTTTCATGTTCGTCTTATCTTTTCTTGCAATATTTGGCATGGCATCTGAAAGCAAATAGGTGAGATTTTTACCGACACTTATCGACAACTTATAGACAAATATATAATCAATTTAACCTGGCAGTTCGTCTCAAATGGGAAGGAACAAAGGCACGGAATCATCTGAAAGAAGACACACGACATTATTTCACGATATTGCAAACAGATATTGCACATTGCATTGCAAATAACATTGCAAATCGTATTGCAAGTAACATTGCAAATTCTATTACAAATAATATCGTATAATCGGTTATGCTGACCATTCCAGCTGCCGTCCAGACGCAGCCCACCATCACCAGGAAACAAACGGGCAAGAAGAAAACGCTTGTAAACATGTTCGGGCCGTGGGGGTATCACGTTTCTTCGTATAAAACTGCCAAATCCTGCCGATGTTTATATATTCCGCATTTGCAAGGTGATCGCACTAAAAACAATTACAGATATGGTATGCGATTACCAAATGTGTTTGTCATGTCCGGCGCGCACCAATTTAATAATAATATATGGAAAAAAGAATGTGTGCGACGTGTCTCAGAATTTTTTCAAATTTTTCTGCCGCGAGCTGCCGCCGCGAACAATGAAAATACGAAAATCAAATAATCGCAGATTTCTCGAAGACCAAAAATGAGGCTGTCCGTGCGTTAATTCTCCAATGAGCTACCGTCGCGAGCATTGTTCACAATTTTTTTCAGATTTTTCGTTCGGGTGCGCGATAGTTGAAAATAATATACAGTAATGTCTCCCTTACTGACGCTCAGATTGTCCATGAAAAATGGACAATTTGGGAAGAGGAGATACGATTATCCGAGCCTTGCGGCTCGTTTCTATCATTGTTGACAATTTACAACTATAAAAACGAGCCAAAAGGCTCGCATAATCGTATCTCCTCTTCCCAAATTGTCAATTTTTCGTGGACAATCTGGGCGTCAATTAGAGAGACATTACTGTAATCTGTACTCGTCGCGTGCTTCTGCTATGGGAAATTAATTTGTACTCGTTGGTTTTATTGTTTATGGAATAATGATTCGATCGGATGAATATATATATATATATTATTATATATATTATTATGTAATTATAATAATTATAATTAATATATTACGATCGGATAAACGTTCGAATAAGTCGAAGTTAAAATATCGAGTTTAAACGTCGCCGTTACGAAGCAATGCGCAATTGTCGCGATTCGAGGTCGGTGTTTTCACGTTGTCGAGCTGGTTTCCCGTTGCGAAATCATGTTCTACACGCTTTTTGTTTCGTCATGCCGGTTTGTAAGTATATTCGTATGCAAAGGGCTTCGGAATTTTCTGTGACAATGGGTGCAACAGAATTACCAGGGCGCACGTACGCGAATCAAAAAGAGGTGGCACGGTAACGCGATATTCAAAAATACCATGTTCGAGCCGGTATAAACTCGGGAACAACTGCCGGCAGTTTCAACGGGCCGGCGCGGCGCAACCGGTCGCGTTTACAGCAGTTGCAGGTTCATTTTGCGTTGCACTGTCAATACGGCAGACACACGCTGACGCGGGGATAGTTTGATAAATACGTATGCGTTAATGCGTAATGCTGTTTGCTGAATAAACCAGTGCCACTTTATGCGTTCTAACACAACGCCGTTTCTATTAATATAACGTTATTCGCGATTCGCGGCCGCTACTAGTTTACAGAAATTCGCGGCGCGGCAGAAATATCCGCGATTTTACGAGGCCGTCGACGAATATCCGGTTTAACGGCGTTTTGAGAATTTTGAATTTCACTGGTTCATATTTTCTTCTTATTCGAATATGGTTTCAGAGATGCGCGCCATGTGATTTGTTCGAATTTCTGAAAAAAGGGGTTATACAGGGGTTGTAATTCGCAGTTTGTTATTTAATCAAATCCATGGTTTGATATTTATTCAAATCCATATTTTGCTATTTAATAAAATCCACATTTTGCTATTTAATAAAATCCATACTTTTTTTTGCTATTTGATAAAATCGATATTTTTCTATTTAATAAAATCAATATTTTACTATTTAATAAAATCCATATTTTCCTATTTAATAAAATCGATATTTTTCTATTTAATAAAATCAATGTTTTACTATTTAATAAAATCCATATTTTCCTATTTAATAAAATCCATACTTTGCTATTCAAACAAATCCATACTTTGCTATTTAATATAATCCATGTTTTCTTATTTAATAAAATCTATATTTTTCCATTTTAATAAGATCGATATTTTAC